AAAAAAAAAAAAAAAAAAAAGGAAAGAAACAATACTCAAATATCAATAAGCTCACATAGGACCTAAATCTTGGTTCTAATGCAATTCTCCAATAAGGGGAGGTAGGGCTCTGTTACATCTTGTGTCTAGATGTCCTCTCAAAACCTCATGCCGTAATAGGTGGGCTTTTTGAGAGGTGGATGAATCTAGAGTTATCTTATGTTACTTGCTGCCTTCTGCCTGCCCTGCTTTGCCATGGACTATTTCTTCTCTGTGATGCCCCTCGCCACACCTCCCCGCCTTGGAGCCAGCAAACTATAGACTGAAACCTCTACAAACTGTGAGCCAAATAAACCTTTCCTCCTTTAACTTTGGGTGTCAGATATTTTGTGTCATGATCAAGAAAGTAACTAAGACAGGTTCCTTGGAAAAACTGAAGATTCTAAGAGTAGGGGAAGAAATAAACAAGATGAGCCTCAAGCATTTTTTAATGCCAAAAACTAAGCAATTGCTTTTATTTTTTTACTTTTTTAGCAATTGCTTTTAAACACACACACAGTCAGATGGACATTCTTGTAAAAGCTAACTAAAATAATTCCCAATGGCAAAGTTGGAATTGAGAAACAAAATGAAGACAGTTATCCTGGGTTATGATTCAAGGTATAAAATATATATTCATAGCTTCTCACAGATATAAATAAATGAGTAAATAAATTAGGGAGACAAGACAAATCTCCCATAGAGGAAAACCCCAAATAAACTAGCCATTTCAACCTAAAGGAGGAGAGCATAACTCCCCACTGCCTAAAGGTAAAACGGATATAGTAAATTCCACCTAGAGTTCAGAACAGAAAAGGGTAAAATGAAAAGAATAGCTGTAAGAAGAAACCCAACAGCACCTGCCTGGCAAGCATAAGGTTCTGAGTTTGATCCCCGGTACAAAAAAAAAAAAAAAAAAAAAAAAAAAACAGCAAGTACAAATCATGTAGATGTACTCTTGATAGGATGTGATGAAAATAGCTCTTTACCTCTGTGATTTTCTTCCTAAATCTCTTTACAAACACAGTCTCATTATAAGAAAAATATGAGACAGATTCAAAAAGATCAACAATACAACTGACTAGCAATCCTTTCAAGATCATCAAAAACAAGGAAAATGTGAAAAACTGTCACAGTCAACAGTAATCTAAAGAGACAGCTAAATGTAATACGATACCCTGGGACAAAAAAGAACATTAGGTGAAAAGTAAGCAAACTAGAATAAACTATGGACTTTAGTTGATAAAAGTATTGTTAATATTGCTTCTTTAGCTACAACAAATTTATCCTGCTAATGTAAGGTGTCTATGGGAAAACTGTTTTAGAGTAGCGGGTAAGAGGAAGAAGACACTAAGGGGTCTACATTCCCTGAAAGTTCAAGTGGCCCAGGAGCAGGGAGTTCACTGCAGTGGTACAGCATCTACTCAGTATGTGCAAGGCCCTGGTTTCAATTCCTACCACCAAAAAGAGAGAGAAAGGGAAAAAAAAAAACAAACGGTTAAGAACCCAGAAATCAAATAACAAGCCAACTGAGTAATGCAGAGGTATAGAGCAGCAGTGGATGCCACCTGACCTGATTTCCAGAAAGAGGTGAAGTGAAATGGTGACTATGAAGGTTTCGGCCAGTGTTGACATGTGTCAGCCGAATGGGCTGGCCACATTTGATGGGGGTTCCTCTTTCACACACTGTGGCAGTCTTCCCCCGTATCCTCCAGTAACTGTTGCTGTCATCCACAGAAGTTACACCTGTCACTGACTGCTGCCCACTGCCTGAGGTCAAAAAAAGAAAAGGCAAGTAAGCACAATCTGACTCTTCTCTTTCCTATAGCCAATAACATGCCCTTTGTCATAAAATTGACGTGCAAGGGTAGGGAGGAAGAAACATTATTCTTGGTAATATTTTTTCTATGACAGTAAAACATTTATGTAATATGGCAAGTGCAAAGTCCTGAGTTCGATCCCCGATACCCCCCCCCCGCCAAAAAAAGCCAGGCGTGGTGTTGCACACCTGTAATCCAGCACTTGGAAGGCTGAGGCAGGAGGATCGCTGTGAGTTTGAGATCAGCCTGG